GCCATTCTGACAGGTGTAAGATGGTATCTTAAAGTTGTCTTGATTTGCATTTCCCTGATCGCTAAGGAAGTTGAGCATGACCTTAAGTGTCTTTTGGCCATTTGAACTTCTTCTGTTGAGAGATCTCTGTTCAGCTCAGTGCCCCATTTTGTAATTGGGTTGATTAGCCTTTTACGGTCTAGTTTCTTGAGTTCTTTATATATTTTGGAGATCAGACGTTTGTCAGTTGCGGGGTTGGTGAAGATTTTCTCCCAGTCAGTGGGTTGCCTTTCTGTCTTAGCGACAGTGTCCTTTGCTTTACAGAAGCTTCTCAGTCTCAGGAGGTCCCATTTATTCAATCTGTATGTTTACTTTAAAAATTCTTTTTTTGTTGTTTATTTGTTTGGTTGGTTTGGTTTCTTTTCGTTTTTCAAGGAGATGGTTTCTTAGTATAGCCTTGGCTGTCCTGGAACTCACTCTGTAGATCAGGCTGGCCTTGAACTCACACAGATCTGCCTGCCTCTGTCTCCCAAGTGCTGGGATTAAAGGTGGACACCACCACTATCCAGCTTAAATACTGATTTTTTTTTAAAAGAAAATTCTACAGAAGGGAAAATGTAAGTGTTCTGTGTACTGCAGCTATAAAAACAAACAATCTAGAGGAGAACAAATTCCTGACTAACAGTATTTGCAGAATTGGGAAAACAAGAAAGCCAGTAAAATGAGTATAGCAACTGGGGTCACTGAGACCCCTGAAACATGGTAATTTCAATAATGTTTACAAGTGTACTTGACCGGCCACATTTGTAATGCAGTATCATGGTAATTTTTAGCAGTCTATCATACTCATAGAGCCATGAACCTTTGTTTTTTGTCAGAAGTTAAAATAAAGCGCAGGTACATTTCAAACTGTTGGTGAATCTGATCAATGCTAATGCCAAAGAAACATTTTTAAATGCAAAGGGATTTTCTAACATGAAACAGATCTGCAGTCTCTCTTACCCAACCTAACCTTTGCTAAACAAGGGTTTATCCCCATTGGTCTAGTTAATTTCTTGGGTCTCCTTTATATCCTTCCTCCAAGGTTTGAATTTGACCACTTGGGAGACCAGGAATTCCCACTAAAGCTAAATGTCAACTATTTACACAATAGTTTGAGCTATTCAGATAAATAATAGAAAGCTACCTGACAGAAAACAAGGTAATCAGGCTCGGTTCCATATGCACACATGCATTCTGAGCAGTTCACAATTCAATACACTTCGATTTTTTTCCTAGGGCATTGAAATCATTAGAACAAAGTAAATGTTTCAGACTATTTCTTTTGAAATATAGAAACATACCTACTTGGCCAGTTGCCACTATGTTGATAAATTTGGGGTGCTGATTTACAGTGAGGCACAGAATGTCATCATTATGTTCCTGATAAAAACTCTGAGTCCCTATAAAGAAAGAATTTGAAAGTTAACTTTGAAAACTTTAAGATGCAAGAGCCAAATGTACTTATTTAGTACAATAAATTAATTTGTGCACTCAAAATTTATTTTGAGCATTTACCATGTAAGTGATAACTAGCAAAAGGATGACAAATGAATTGATAATCTAAAGGGATAGAGCCCTGAAAAGGATAAACCACATAGAGCTGAATATACCAAATGCCATGAGACAGATAAACAAAAGGCTGGGGATGTAGCTAATTGTGCATACACATGGTTCATCTGAATGACGTGGATGGTTATGAAAGTCAGCAATATAGATGGAAAAGTAAGCAGGTACTAGGATTATGGAAGACTTTGATTACTTTCCTATCATCTTCCCTCTTTGATTTTGTAAAGAAAAAATTTAGTAGAGTCACAGGAAAAGCAAAGTAATTTCTCACTTATTAATCTGGGTGCTGTTTATTCATATTTCACATTCAGATTGTAAGTAGTGGTTTTTGATCAGAAACCTAATATGGTTCCTCCCACAGTACTGCCAGTGAAGGGACCTTTTAGAGTCTCCATGAACAAGATAACAAGACTAAATAAAATAGGAGGTAAAAATAGTGTGGAAATGAAGTCAGGACAGCAGGTTGGATGTAGATTATAGAGGACCATGCACAGCGGGTTTTCCACAACCTCAACAATTACACTAACACAGCTATGTTACTTACACTTCGTCAAAGCCCCTGGGTGGGGCAATATACACCTGCAATCCCACAGAGGCAGATGGATCATTATGAATCTGAATTTGAGGCCAGCCTGGGCTACATACACAATGAATTCTACACTAGACTGAGCAAAAGAAGAACTTGTCTCCATAAATAAATAAGATAGATAGATAGATAGATAGATAGATAGATAGATAGATAGATAGATAGATAGAAAGAATAAGCAAACAAAACTTCTCAAGTTGAAATGTGTTTTGTGTTTTCCAGAGCAGAAGGTGTACTGAAAGGAACGAGCAAGTAATTATAGGCTGATGATTAAATTGATGGAATATAAACTTGTAGACACTTCTCTGAACATTACAATGGAACCCCAACTGATGAGAAACAGTCAAAACCAACGTAGGGCAGAGATATGCAGATCTCTATTAGTTACAGCATGAGGCCAGCCTGGTCTACATAGCAAGTTCCAGACCAGTCAAAGCTACATAGTGAGACCCTGTCTTGAAAAAAAAACAAAAGTAAACCCCCAAAATTTAAAGAAAATAAATAAAAATACTATTTGTAGCTTTAACAAATACTTTTAAGCTGCTAGATAAGAAGTTTTAAATTAAAGACAGTGTGTGTACAGGGAATTAAGACTTCCTACCTGTAGCAACATTGTGCAGAATTCCAACAGAGGCAGTGTGATAAATTATATCATCACCATCATTTAAGTAGTGCACATTGTTCCTGCAGTCTCTGCCTCGATAGCCAAAAGCAAGCTCCAGCACAAGGTCCTATAACAATGACAAAACCATTGCACATGGCATTTTTTTCTGTGTAAATGTTCTCTAGAGCTCTGTGATAGAGACCATACTAGCATTTTCTGTCAAAAGGAGAATGCGCTTTAGATTTTTATAAACTGCTAACTCAAAATCAAACTTGTCATTTAAATTTTCTTTAGCCTTTCATAATTTTACATATACATGACATAAAATAAATACATATACACAGATACATAATATACTTTGATTATCGTCACCCACTATCCTCTTATCCCCCTCCAATTGAACCCCTTCTTCTCCAAAAGTTCCCCTCTTACTTTCCCATCTCTTGGTGTCCCAATACCTTTGACTGCTGATATGTGTGTGTGTGTGTGTGTGTGTGTGTGTGTGTGTGTGTGTGTGTGTGTGGCAGTTATTCACTTAAGAAAGGACAATTTACCAGGAGTTGTACCCCTGAAGAACACGATTTCTTTCCCTCAGCAACCACTGACTACAGCTCCTCAGGGAGAGGGGCCTCTGAATCTATTCCCTATTGATGGTAGATAATTGATGGGCTCAGTCTTTTGCAGCTGTGACCTCATGAGTGCAACAGTCATATATATAATATATATAATATAATGCTTTCAGCATTAGAATCACACATTCCATATTTTCAATATAAACTTATAAAAAGGAGATGGGAACCATAAGGTCATCTCATTCCAAGAGACTATATTTAAGTTTTTATGTGTTAAATATTGATACATTTCTTTTAAAAAAATTATTAGATTAAAAAAAATACCAATCCAAGTTCGTACCCCCTTCCCTCCTCCCATTCCCTCCACACTCCCACCCCAACGCCATCTAATCCTCAGAGAGGGTAAGGCATATTGCTTTGTGGAAGGTCCAAGGCCCTCCCTACTATATCTAGGCTGAGCAAGGTATACATCCAAAGAGAACAGGATCCCAAAAAGTCAATCCATGCAGTAGGGACAAATCCTGGTGCCACTGCGAGTGGCCCCTCAGTCTGCCCCAGCCATACAACTGTCACCCACATTCAGGGGAACTAGTTGGGTCCTATGCTTGTTCCTTTCCTGTCCATCACTCTAACTACAGAGCAAGTCAAGATTCGGCCCCCTCTCCTTTATTGCTTAGGGTCTTAGGTGGGTTATACTTGAGGATTCCTTGGAATTTCTCTAGAGCCAGGTTTCTGCTAACCCTATAATGGCTCCCTCAATCAAGATATCTCTTTCCTTGCTCTCATCTCTGCCCTTCCTCCATCTTAACTATCCCATTCCCTCAAGTTCTCCTCAACCCTCCCCTTCTCCTCTCCTCTTCCCCTTTTAACCTCCATTCTCCCCCTACCCCCATGCTCCAATTTTGTCAGGAAATCTTGTCTGTTTCCAATTTCTAGGTGGGTCTATACATGTTTTTCTTTGGGTTCACCTTATTACTTAGCTTTTCTAGGATCATGAACTATAGGCTCAATGTCCTTTGTTTATACCTAGTATCCACTTATGGTTGAGCACATACCATATTCATCTTTTTGGGTCTGGGTTACCTCACTCAGGATAGTGTTTTCTAATTCCATCCATTTGCATGCAAAATTCAAGATGTCATTGTTTTTCCTGCTGAGTGGTACTCTAATGTGTAAATGTGCCACATTTTCTTTATCCATTCTTCGGTTGAGGGGCATCTAGGTTGTTTGCAGGTTCTGGCTATTACAAATAATGCTGCTATGAACATATATGAACAAAGGCTTTTGTAGTATGATTGAGTATCATACTACATATGATTGGGTATATGCCCAAGAACTGGTATTGCTGGATGCTGAGGTAGGTTGATTCCCAATTTTCTGAGAAACCGCCATACTGATTTTCAAAGTGGTTGCACAAGTTTGCATTACCATCAGCAATGGATGAGTGTTCTCCTTATTCCACATCCTCTCCAGCATAAGCTATCATTAGTGTTCTTTTATCTTAGCCATTCTGACAGGTGTAAGAAGGTATCTCAGAGTTGTTTTGATTTGCAGTGCCCTGATAGCTAAGGATGTCGAATATTTCCTTAAATATTTTTTGGCAGTTTGAGATTCTTTTGTTGAGAATCTCAGTTTAGTTCTGTATCCCATTTTTAATTGAGTTATTTAGAATGTTGATGTCTAATTTCTTTAGTTCTTTATATATTTTAGAGTTCAATCCTTTGTCTGATGTAGAGTTGGTGAAGATCTTTTCCCATTAGTTAAGCTGCCTTTTTGTCTTATTGACTGTGTCCTTTGCTTTACAGAAGCTTCTCAATTTCAGGAGGTCCCACTTATTTATTGTTGCTCTCAGTGTCTGTGCTACTGGTATTGTATTTAGGAAGTGGTCTTCTGTGCCAACGCATTGAAGACTACTTCCCACTTTCTCTTTTATCAGGTTCCAGTGTGGTCGAATTTATATTGAGGTCTTTAATCCATTTGGACTTGAGTTTTGTACATAGAGATAGATATGGATCTATTTTTATTCTTCTACATATTGACATCCAGTTTTGCCAGCACCATTTGTTAATGATGTTTTCTTTTTTCCATTGTATAATTTTAGCTTCTTTGTCAAAAATCAAGTGTTCATAGGTGTGTGGATTAATATCCGGGTCTTTAATTTGATTCCATTGTTTAACCTCTCTGTGTTTATGCCATTACCAAGCTGTTTTCATTACTGTAGCTCTGTAATAGAGCTTGATATCAAAGATAGTGATGCCTCCAGAAGTTCCTTTATTGTACAGGATTGTTTTGACTATCCTAGGTTTTTTGATTTTCCATATGAAGTTGATTATTGTTCTTCAAGGTCTGTGAAGAATTGTGTTGGGATTTTGATGGGGATTGTATTGAATCTATAGATTGTTTTAGGTAGGATTGCCATTTTTACTATGTTGATGCTACCTATCTAAAAGCATCTTTCCATGGCTCAGCCATTAAAGGCTATGCTCACAACCAAAAACATTGATACATTTCTTACATTCAAAAGAATGTGTCAGTTACTTGTTCTCTGTCCAAATTAGATCCCCAGGAGAACCCAAAGCTGTTCTGACAAGTCCTAAGTAAAGGTCTGGCAGAGGCTCCTACAACAAGGAGTATTCCTTTTCATTGCCTTATGGGTGGTGGAAGGGAGTAGAGTCATCTGTATTCCTGCAGCTGTGCACTTTCCCCATGCTGGATCTAGCACAATGTGCTTGTTTGCTGCTGACATTGGCCTTATGAACTGTCTATGAGGAAGTTTCTTGATGGAAGAGAGGAGGAGAAACACTCTCCATGCGCACTATATATTAAATGTATCACATGGGGTAAAAAGTTCCAGAAATAGTGTATTTTCTAGTTAATTTATAAAGTCAATTTACAAATAAGACACCACCAAGGTATTCGTGCTTCCCTATCTACCCAGGAAATCATTCATATAAATTTACATTTAGACGTTCTCCAAGACACAGACCGACTCAGGATATTATTTATTTAAGAGTAAAAGACTCATCTGAAATTAAGAGCAGCAGAGGGTATCAATCCACATTTCAGACCTGAATAATAATTAAGCAAACAACTTTTACAACCAACCGAGCAAAGATAATTCAAGATACCAAGTTTCATGAAAGCTAAAGGCAAAACTTGAAGGTTCCATAAAAAGGAAGCTTCGGAATATTGGGTAATTTGTTTTCCTTACCTCTATGGGTCTCTTCTTCTTGCCAACATTGTTTGACTGAAGTTTCTCTGGCTGTGGTGGGGCCCTACTCACTGGGGGCCTGGAATAGAGGGGTGGGAAGGAGGAAAGACAGAATTACCTGGGGCTTCCACTGGGTCTCCCAACCTGCCCTCCAGAAAGGGAGCCTACTCTCATTTTACTAAACTGTGTTCTCTGTAGCTTGATAATTTCTAATGTATAAAGAAATAATAATTTTATTCATTTTTACTTTTTGTATCTTTGGTCTGTGTCTCATAATGAAAATAATGTAGCATAAGAATAGGATAAGAAGTTGACACACTCAAACATTTCTGGATGGGTATATTATCATCAAAGTCTGGGTTGCTGCTCTAAAGCATCTCTTATGGCTCACATAGAAGATATATAAACATTCTGACAGTGAATTTGGATCACATGAACTTTCTGTACTGCTGGTAACATCTATAGAGGCCTGTCCTCCATGCTCCTCCACGCCCTTTACTGTCACACTCCCTGAGGTCTCTCACGGTGGCTAATAGCACCAACACCAGAAAGTTATTCAAGGAAGTCATTTTATAGTCACACAGCAAGGTTAAAAAAAAAAGGCCATTACTACAACTACCATCTCCAAATCTCCTTCTCTAATCTATGGAATATCTATCACCTTTCCCTACCCTACATAATAGCTTTTGAATCAAGCCCTCTCTTAATCTGCTCAGAATCTAGTAAAATGTTTCCTATTCTAATAGGGGTATAGATTCATATTCTGAATTATATAATTGTGGAAGAACTTTGTAAAACCTTTTACTTAATTTTTAAAAGTCACTTACTAGTCCATCTCAACCATTCAATCCATCTCAAAATTCAAATATTTTATAATCTGAACACTGAATCTAAATTATGCATTAACTCCTCTCTAAATTTTAAACTCAATTTATAACTAAATTAAAAATGATACTCATTAATTTTGTAAAAACTTCCAACATTTAATAATTTATTAAAGCCATATAACTAGACTTCAAAAGTATTGTCAAGTTACACATTTGCAAAGCTAAAAGAAATATTGCATCTTTTAAAATATCTGTGTCTGTGCATGTGTGCATGCACATGTGTGTGCACAAGCCCACACATGTCTGAGGGTATGTGTATCATGTACATGCAGGAACCCACAGAGTTCAGATGCCCTGAAACTGGAATTAAGGATGGTTGTGAGCCACCCTGTTTGGTAGGAACTGAACCTAGTCCTCTACAAGAACATCCAGTGCTCTTAACTACTGAGCCATCACTCCAGTCCTGGTGCATACTGAACATATAATATAAAATACATGCAGAGAGCTGAGAATCTAGCATGGTGGCCAAGCATAAGCAAAGCCTGGATTTCATACTAAGTACAGTGTTAAATAAATGTACATATTCACATACAGCATGAAATAGTATGTACTGAGCATGACTGACTGGTATCATAAAAAATATCTTCATCAAGTATGTGTAACTTTCCAAGTTATCACAGAAATTTAAAGTTCAAATCTTCACATTATTTGAATGTTCATAAGTAAAAATAGAAGTAAATTAATAATATTTAACATTTAAGAAAATTTCTACCAGAACTAACTCAAAAAATGACAGAAAGCCTAGCTTTTCTTCCAAGTGAACTTTTTGTGAAGTTTTATTCAATGTATAAGAATCTGATAGCTTTAATTCTAACCCTGTTGTCAAGTTTTATCTAAAAAAACCTATGTAACAATTAAGCATATTTAAATTTAATAAATATTATTTACATAATTCATACTACTGCTTAAAATGAAACTATCTGGCTTATAAAATTATACAATTTGGATGTATAAAATGTTAGTGATACAGTGACTTATGGAAGCCAGATAATTAAGATGTTCCTCCAGAGAGAGGAAGTGGGAACAGGGGTGGAGAACAAGGTATCACCGCTCATTAGTTAAAACAGGAGAGATGACAAAAACACAAAATTTGGTCTTGTAAACATAGCAAGCAGATGGTTACCTGGATCCTCTTTCAGCAGCAGAGAAGAATAGGAAAAGGATTTTAACACATATCTGAATTTTAAACATTATTGCAGAATCTCACATAATAAAATATTGTTAGGTTTAGCACAGATAAACTGTATTGCCCACATTAAAGGCTTGTTTTTATTACTGTACTTAAGCTTAAATTAGTTCATTGATGGCAAATAAACCAGAAGATTAAAAAAGAAAGACATATGAGAATTCAGAATGTTTTCACACTTTAGAGGGCCATTCATCTTATCTTTGTTCTTAAGAAAGGAAAAGAGGACCTTAGTCAGGTATTATTGGGGCTGCTTTTAAAGAAACTGTCTCATGAGACCATCCTGCAAATCTAAGAAGGTTCTCCAGGTACCAACTCAAGCAGGCAGTTTCTGTCATTCAAGGTCTTACGGAGTTTGTAAGCAAAGCAAGTATCATTTAAAAGAAGAATGCCAACTGAGCGCGTTGGTATTTGTCTATAATGCCACCACACTCTGAGAAGCCGAGGCAGGAGGATTGCTGTGAGTTCAAGGCTAGCCTGAGCAAGACTATTAGTGCCAGGGCAGTCAGAGCTACATAGCAAGACTGTCTCAAAACAAAACTACCATTCTCTCCCCTTCCCCAAAAGAAAAATTCTCTTAATAGCAGAATGAAGCTTGGAAATCCCAGCATTCTGGAGGCTAAGGAGAAGGGATCTCAAATGCCAGCCAGCTATGAATACACTTTAAGATTCTGCTCAAAACATCAAAATAAAACAAAACAAAACTATAAGATTTGAGGATGCAGGTATGTGGACAGGAATTTGCCTACCACCTGAGGCCTGGATTCAGACCCAGGAGTGGAAGGAGAGTGTTACCATGTTATCATCACTAACAGAACTGAAAGGATGACAGAAGTCTTCCACAGCTTTCCTGTCAGATGGTCGGTCAAGCACACTTGCCATGGCGAGGTTACTTCACATAAAAAGCTGTCCATATCCAAGACAGCAATTACAACTCCACTTAGCTTCATGTTTCAGACAAGTGATTCCTAAAGAACTGGGTGCTCTTAGCAACAGCCTTCCAACTTTCCCTCACTCTGGTTTCTTCTACGGTATTCAGAATGGCTAGGGTTTCCTTTAATGTGGAACTCAGTACTAAACACACTTTCCATACAGAACTAGATCTGGATACTTCATTTCTGTTAAATTCATGTAAGTTTATGTGGGCCTGTTCAGAGGTCAAGCCATACTCTAAGGTCATCTTTACATATTACTCTGTTGAAAACACAATGAATTTCCAAGATAATTAATTTCAATTGCCAAATTATCCAAGGATACTGAATGGGTTTCTGAACAATCTGGTCTCAAATGAACTTTTCATCCTTAACTCCCAGCATTTTTAAAGAAAGTAGTATCTTCTTACTTCTAAAATTGACTTATTCCCATGATGTCTCCTTTAGAATTGCTCTGAGGACATTTTCATCTCACTGAAGGGTGTTGCAAGCCAGTGCTCCTACAGCCTTTTTTATTCTTGTAATTTTGTTAAACACAAAATACCATAATTATCCTATTTTTAAATATATGATTATATTAAATATTATTACGTTGAACAAATGTTTATGAAGTGAATGATCTTCCATTGATAAATACATATAATTATGCTAGTTTTCATGGGCATCTAAAGGAAGTACTAAAATTCATGGATTCATGAAAAGTCATTTGTAAAATTATAATGAAGGCCTACTTACAAAATAACAATCACATTTTATTTTCTAATCTTTTTGTCAGGTGTAAGTAAATGTTTTATAGTAAAAATTAATACCTTGACATACTCTAGGGATCACAATAGAACAATAAACATTTTAATAGAATATGTTCTTTAAAAAACACTTACCTTACTACCCCCTGTCTTTGAAAGGAAAAGGAGAAGAAAGTGGGAAAACACATAGGAAATTGATGGTGAATATACATAACAATAAGCAAAATAAAAGCAACATCAAAAGAACTTTAAGAAAACACAAAATTTCTAATTTTATAACAGGTTTTGGATATTTTAATTAAAATACTAGAAATTGATTAAAATTAACTACCTTATGTACAAAATATTTACACAAAATATTTATTGAAAAATAAAGTCATATTACTATCAAAATCATTCAGAAAAAAATCCACGAAGTATTAACTATAGTAGTAATCAACTGTCATCAGAAATATTTCCTTTGAAGTAGGTGATTTGATGCTTAGATGATTATGAATTAACTGATTAATATTTAATGGATAACATTAAAATATGAAACAACTATTTAAATAGCTAAAGTATACTTTGAGTAATGTATTCAAAACTGGCAGGAAAAGTATCTCTTTTGATCTCCTTTTAATTTATTATTTTTTTGTGAAAATGAGGACTCTTATGAGTCACATTACTGACATCTGTCTCAGCATTTTCAAAAGAATTTAGCAGAACTGACACTACAGAAATTGAGAATGAAATGCAAAAAAAAAAAAAATTCGAGAATAAACTTGAGAAGTTAACTACAAAAAATCCAAACTAGAGCTGGGCATGTTGGCTTCCACCTATAATCCCAGCACCTGAGATGTAGAGGCAGAAAAAGTATGCATGGAAGCAAGTCTGGGGTGCTGTACACAGTGAGATCCAGGCCTGACTGGGCTACAAAATCAACAAACAATGTAACAGAAATAGTTATAGCAATGAAAACATTAAACAATTTCAAAAGAAGAAAATATTTCCATCTGCCATCACATAAAAGGCTTCACCAATGAAGAGAAATCAGCTTTACTGTGACCAAGTGTGGCTTCCAGAGTAAAGTTAGGTTATATAACAAACTGATCTGAATAATAACATTTCTTATTGAAAAAAACAATAACTTATGAAAGAGATTATGGTACTTTTTATTTTTTATTACTTGGAAGATAGAATTTCCTTAAATAATACAAATTCTTCAAATATTCATTTTACGAAATCCTTATCTGTTTATTTATATGTGTTCCTGTAATTAATAAATATCAAGGTAGTAGTATTCTTTGTGAATATTTAATCTCAGGATTAGTATTTTAGGCTACTCTTTCTTTTCCTTTCTTTTTATTTCCAATGTGACAGGCTTTCAATTTGTAGACCTGGCTGACCTAGAAACTGCTTTGCAGAACAGGCTGTCCTCATGGTCAGAGTTCACAACTGCATAATTCAATACATTACTAGCAGCGTCTACAGAAAATTTATATATAATTCAATTTTTATACCATTATCATTTTCTCACCTAACTTTAAGTTTTATTATTACCTCTCATCAACTGATGGCTCTTTTTGTTGCAAATGAGGCTTGACTCCAAGCATTGGGCGGATATTGGTTGATAAGGCTCTGATGGTGTAACTGATTTCATTCTCTCTTGTCACATCACTGTCATAGCCTACCATCAAATACAACGGTTATCAAACGATAGCAAGGTGATCACTTACATTCTTATAAATTCTATTTCTTCCAACAGTGTAAAATAAATTGTTAAAGCCGCATTACTAAATATGGAACTAGAAAGATTTATGTGAAGAATATTTAGTAATATGTAATAATGTCTACTAATTATCACTAATTATGCACCACAAGCTACAAATATGAACTCAGTCATCTCATTTTTATTAAAAATATTATGAACATAAGGGCATAATTATAATAGTATATACTTTCAACTGTTAAGTGTGGGTGGTTAAATTATTCATCCTATGTTTTTATAATTACTGATATTACTGACATATTAAGAAAATAAAAATGATCTTAAAATATAAAGCTCAATAACATAAAAGCTTTTAACAGCACTTAAAATATGATTGGCTGTCTTACAGATGGTGAATATCTAAGCCATCAATACATGCCAGTCATGAATCACAAAAACAATTTTGTTGTAAAACTGACCCAAACAATAATAACACAGTTGTTCAAACACATTACTACTTATTTTTTTAACTTCTGTAGTTTAAATCAGTAGAGCTACTTTTTCTGTTTTTATTAAGATATTTTAAAATGACATACCTCCATCTTCTTCAGAATCTATATCAGATTCTTCACTATCACAAGACTTTTTTTCTCGATAGCTCTCCACTTCGTTTGTCCACACCATTAAAGACATATCTGCACCTCCTAGGGTAACCAGCATGCTGTCATCATAAGTCCAGCGAACATTTGTGACATGTGTGCTGTGAGCCACATACTTCTTAAACTTTCCAAATTTTCCCTGAAAATAAAACAAATTCAGACATGCTTTTTGAATTCTAGCATGGAAACTTTGTTTTATTATATATACATATATATATATACAATATATACATATATAATATGTATACACACAGTATTATTTCACTTCAATCCACTGCGCTCTCTTTGGTAAATACTACCTACACATAGTTTCTTTCTTTCTCTTGTCCTTTGATGTTCCACACCTGCTAAGTAGGCAATAGGTACTCTACCATAGAACTACATCCTCCAGAATTACATTTCCCTTTTAAATACCAAGTGAACTGTAAGTTATAGACCCAGGAAAGATTAGTTATACAAGTAAATTTGAGATCATAAACCATAAGCAGGTTTTAAGTGAACATCTTTTCAAAGTTGTTAAAGTTTCTTAAATAAATAAAGCATGGTAGTCAGGGAGATGGCTCAGCAGGTAAAGGAAAGGCAATTGCTGCCAAGTCTGATGATATCAATGTGCTCTCTAGACGCCATGCTGCAGAAGGAGAGAACCAACTTCAGGAAGTATCCTCTGACCTCTATGTGAGGTCACACACATGCTCATATACATAGACATATATGTGCACATATGCCCACCAATCCCCACATCCAAAAAATAAGAAAAAAATGTGAAAACCTTTTAAAAAGTAAGCAAAACATAGTGAGTAGCAAAATTAGTGAGTTCTCTGGGGCGGGGGGCGAGGGGGAAGGGGGAAAGACAATGAAAATGAGAGGGCTGGTGAGATGACTCAGCAGACAAAGGGAATTGCCGCAAAACCAGGTGACCAGAGTTTAATTTTCAGAACACTTGGTGGAAGAAGAGAAGCCACTCTCCAAGTTGTCCTCTGGCCTCCATATGTACACAGGCCATGAGGCACATGTGCTATTCCTCACAGATAAATGCAATGAAGACCCCTTTTTTTCTGAGTAAGTGGGATACTTATTTATTGGGTTATGGAAGGGAAAGGGGGAAGGAGAGAAGGGAGAAGAGCTAAGAGAGGCAGAGAGAGAGAGAGAGAAAGACAGACAGACAAGACAGAGAGACAGAGAGGGGAAGGGGAAAAGTAGGGAGAAGGGAGCAAGGCAGAAGCTGCCTCTTCAGGGGAGAGATGGAAAAGGCCGACCCTTTTATTTTTATGTTGAGGAGGAGTTTGTCTTCAAAGCACAGAGTTTCTCTAAAATTGTGTGGTTCTTGCTATAGTGAGCTCTCTCCTTCTTCTCCTCCCTTCTCTCACTGAGTAGAAACTCCCTGTCTGGGAAGTTTATTTGAGTGCCTAAGCTCCCAAAAAGAAGTTTTAAACCTATGTTTTCATTTCAGTGAGAATCTAAAAATGCTCATATGGGCAGCTGAGGTTACCATGAATGAAATATCATGATATATTTTTAGCATCCCATTTCAAATTTTGTTTCTATTCATATTGATGCTAGATTATAATCTATAATGTAATTTATGACAACTAGGAAGTAAATGCCCTTGCACTCTATACACAAGGTTTTATTTTTGTAGTAAGCAGAGCCTTAAGTTTTACAGTAGTGTGAACAGAGGTTAGTAAAAAGATGAGTTGAACAATCAAGCAACACAGCCTAGGCAATGTAGCACTGTAAAGAATCTGTACTATCTGGTTTCAGAAAAAAATCATGACATTAATCAGTGTTATTTAATTTTATTTAAATATTAAATATTTAATTGCCCTCTTTTCTAATGTAAAGCCTACATTTATAAAGTTTATATTGGCTCCTAATGATATATATTTAAGTTATATTTATACTTATAATTATAAAATTTATTTAATAGTGATAAAAAGAACATTGAGGGAGAGATATTTATATATTTAATAATGAAAAACACTATACAATATAACATACAAAACAAGGCACTGTATAATATGTAATATACAAACCAAGGCACAGTTTAGTAAACTATAATACTTATTTTAGATAAAAGCTATAAATATAATGCCAAGAATAGAAAAAACAGTTCCAAATCTCTGGTGATATACCATTACTTACTATCTATGCATTATTAATGTTAAAACAATGAAATCATGCTACTTTCACCACTTTCATTACAATGATCATTTGATAAGTTAAAGAAAAACACATACTTTAGCTGGGTATCTAAACAGTTTCACGAATCCTAAATCATCTCCTGTGGCTAGGACCATTTTGTCACTGGTAAGACAAGAGGCAGTTACATCTGTGACTTCTCCAATTATCGGCCAAATTCCCTCACAACATAAACCAAGGACACTTGTCCATGAGGCCCAACTAATTTTTTCCACCTAAAAATATAAAAAAAAATGCTGTAAGTTTCTAATATTTAATATGCAAAGTCTAAACATTTCTCTGTCACTGCTTAAGACTTAACAGGAAAACTGCCTTTTATACACTGGTTTTATAGCTCCCCAGGCCCACCACCGGCAGAGAATTTCAACATGATACTATTCAGGACATACTTACGATATACATACTATGTGTCCTAGCTGCTGAAAATAAGTGATAAGTAAAACTGCTTCTTCCTGAGGATTAGCCAAAACCAATATTTACTATGCATCTAAGTCTCTGTTAATGTGTCATAATCATGTTTTCCAATTAGTCTAGAAATTAAGACTCTGAGAGCCTCTTTCTTTATTTAGCCCCATTCACGTCAAATCTGCTGAGCATCTCTTCCTAGGTCATGCCAAATTAGTAATTTCCCTTTCCTTTACCCATCTAGGTATCTATGTAGCCCAGTAAAACAAAGCCACCCACAGACTTCTCCAAACAATGTGAGAATGGTCATCACATGTAGGAAGGAGGCTTAGCTTTCCAATCAATGTCAATTATATAAACATCACCATCTTCCTACCTCTGTACTAGGGATACTTTGTTTTTTTCCTCTGGGAGCTTCAAAGAATAACTGCTCTTTAGCACCAGTGTTGACCTGTAAAAGCTTTCCTTAAAAGAAAAAAATTTAAAAGTTACAGACATACATATGAAAAACATATAAATACAAATATCATGACCCTGAACCAAAATTCCCAGAAAGAAAACAAAACGTAACGTGTGATAAACATCTCACAGGCTGATCAGAACTTGTGTAATTCTCTAGGGAGAGTGGAATATTCTGGTCTGGAGACAAATTATCATGGGTTAGCTTTAGTTCCCTAAGAAGTCACCTACAACTCACCTCTGCATGAGACCTGGCATGTTTGTGACTATTAATTAGGTAAATCCTTTTAGGACATTCATAGCTCTAGCTTCCACCGACCCAGAGATAACCCATCTACTCGGTCTAAACACAAATGTACTTTTAAAATGTCTTGATTTATAACTTTCCTGGCTTTTTGATTATGTAAACTTCATGTAACTGTTACTACCTTGGGACATGGTATTAGGAGTAACCTGAGTCTGTGTTCCTAGGCGATGGTCACTCATATTTGGCTCCAGAATAAGCAGTCTCTTACTCCCTATGAAGTGATAGCTATGTCTTTGCATGGATATTTGTGCTTTGTTTGCATTCTTTACAGGAAAACTTAAGTTTGAGGCATTCAAGAGACTGAGACTAGGACAGCGAACACACAAGTTCAAGGACTGCCTGGAGTACAGAGTGAATTCAAGGCTAACCTGTGGGATTAAGTGAGACCCCATGTGAAAGTGGAAAATGAGAAATGGGGTAGGAACACAGCTCAGTGGTAGATCACTTGCCTAGCATGCGCAAGGTCCTAGGTCAGTTTCCTCTATAGTGAATATATTAACATCATTGCATTTTCTTAATTCCCTTATAATTAAATAATTTCATTCATAAAAAGCTTATTTTTCTGTAGGCAAATAGATAAAACTATTTTACTTGCTATGTCCACTAAAAAGAAAACTGAAACAAATTGTTCTGTTAAAACTGTTTCAAAGTTTTAAAAGTACAAGTAATTAGCTGAAGGATATTTGAGAAATCTTAACCTTATAACATGAAATTTACAAAACTGAAAATGTGAAATAGCCTTTAAAATGAGGATATTTAAAATATTTAACATTTGTTTGAACTTTTCAAAGTGTTATATGCTATACATCTGCAAAGAAGTTCTCATTAAATACTATGCCACAAGATTATGATGATTTTTAGAAAACATATAGTAAATTAAGTCATGGAAGAAATGCTTTTAAAATCTTCTCTAATATTTCTATTTCCAAATTTGAAATGCATGAAACTTACCTGAAAAAAAGCAGAACATTATGACTAAATTCTTTCTTGGATAAAATTGAATCACTTTAAAATTAACTTCTTAACACCTACTGTACTCCCATCTGAATGACATGAGCTACTGAAAATCTGAACTTCACAACGCTCACCTGGGGCTCCTGTAAAGAGCTATACCAGCGCCACGACACTCTTGTCAGTATCAAGTCACTGAAGTCTTACCTCTGGAGTCCCAGTCAATGTGGGTTATGTAGCTGGTGGCTCCTTTGCAGATGCCCACTCGTTTACTGCTCATCACATTGTATATATCTATAAAGCTGTCGTGGGATGCCACGGCTAGGTATTTCCCAGAACCTACAACAGAAACATTTGCTTGGTATTTCCTACCTGTGGGAGGAGTTTAACTCTGCAACCAGAGGTAACTCTACTTACCTTTTGGGGGAAATCTTAAGTGTCCAATAAATTATATTATAATCAGATGTAAATGTTGATATCAAATGGCAATATATTTTTTCAAGAATATTAATAACAAAATGAAGTGAATTTTCAGTGTACGGCAAATTTTATTTTATTTTCAATCTTACATATTCTGACTTTGTTCATTGTTTTTCTGGGGAACAAATCCAAGGCCTCATGAATATAAGCACAAATCCTCTCACACTAATGACACCTAAGTACTGCTTTCCCATAGAGCTATTTTGGACAGCAAATCTTAAAGAGTCATTTATGTTCCAATTTTGATACAATCAATCCTTCCAAAAATATCTTGCTAAGTTTAGGGGAGAAATGGACATGAATCAATATAAGAAATGTCGTCTTATCATTAGTAATTTAGTCATTTTAATCAGCACTGTAGTAGACAATGAATCAAAGAAATTGGTAACATGAAACATGCAACTTCAAAAGCATTACTATATCAAAAAAAGTTATTTGTTCCCTTTTATTTGCAAATATGAAAACTAAAGTCCACCTAAATTGTCCTGGCCTCAAGTCATTTGGAACATTAGTGGCACAAAGATTAAGATTAAACAAGATATTTGTCCCTGGCAAGTAAGTACAGGGCTCTTACACTTCACCCCACTGCCTGATCAAAAAGTAAAATTCTGGAGCTGGAGAGATGGTCAGTGATAAGAGTTCTAGCCATGAAAGCATGAGGATTTAAATTTGGATCTTCATACAGTAAAAGCTGGGCATGACTGTACCCTGTGACCCCAACACTGCTGGGGTCAGAGACAGGAGGACTGTTGACCTTGCAGGTAGCTTAGCTTCAGGTTCAGTAAGGAATTGTCATAAAGGACTAAAGTGGGTGGTGATGGAGCAGGGCACCTAACTCTGTCCTCTACAAGTGTACACACGACACATGCATATACACTACAAACTGAAAAACCACATTCACACACATACAAAGAGAGAGACAGAGAGAATGGTCTGAGGTAAAGTAAGTTAGAAAATTATTACACGTTGATACATTTACTCACTGCCAGATTGATGCAAATAATCAAATGTAATTTCAATGCAATCTTACCAGGTGAAAACTGGATATCTGAAATAATATCTTTTCTGTGGTGAAAGGACACGAGATCCTCTAGAGTGTCTGCATTTGCCATTAAGAAGCTTCCATCATTGAGACCTACAGCTAAAACTTTTCCGTCAGGAGAAAAGCAGCAGCACCTCCCACCTGAAAGAGAAGGAAAGCAAGGGAATTTCTTGTCACATATACAAGTTTAGAGTATGTGCTTTAAGGGCCTTTAATTATACAGAGGAACCTGTATTTATTATGGCCTCAAATCAACATAAAAAAGTCAAGAAATTCTGTTAAACGAGTTTCTAACCTTGACAAGAATGCACAGTTATTTACCTTAACAGAAAGCTGATAAAAAAGAGAACTCTTAACTAATAAAAAGCCAATTGTTGTATAATATTATTTTAAGGTGTGTCACATTACGCTCTGAAACATTTAACAATGTAAAGATGTATAGCTATTATTTATGCTGCATTTGTTTAACTCTGTGAAGCTGTGATTCTCTGTCTTAAACACTTGATGGTCTAATAAAGAGCTAAACAGCCAACAATGAGGCAGGGAAAAGGACAGGTAGGGTTGGCAGGCAGAGAGTATAAACAGAAAGCGAAATCTGGAGAGGAAAAAGAAGCAAGTTAAAACAAGGAGAGAAGGACATCAGGGGCCAGCGACCCAGCTACCCAGCAAGCCACAGAGAAAGATATAAAGAAAGGTATACAGAAATAGAAAAGGAAAAAGTCCAGAGGCAAAAGATAGATGGAATAGTTGAAGTTGAGAAAAGATGGCTAACAACAAGCCAAGCTAAGCCGGGCATTCATAAGTAAGACTAAGCCTTCATGTGTGATTTACTTGGGAGCTGGGTGGTGGGACCCCAAAAGCCAAAAGAGTAAAACAACCAACAACATTTGGTATTCCAACATGGGGCTAGAGTAATAGAAAATCCAACTATAGCCAATGACCTAAGTGAAGATTGGGGTGGGAGGCAAGAGCTATCTTTGAATGTTCTTTAAAACAAAATTTTGGGGGCTGGAGAGAAGGCTCAGAGGCTGAGAGCACTGCTGTTCTTCCAGATGTTCTGAGTTCAATTCCCAGCAACCATATGGTGGCTCACAGACACCTATAATGAGATCTGGTGCCCTTTTCTGGCATGCAAGGAAGCATGCAGACAGAACACTGAATACATAATAAATAAATAAATCTAAAAAAACAAAAATTTTTAAAAATGAGGACATCTTTGTAAAAATGCTTCAGAAATTAAAAAAGGACATTGGGACAATTATTAGTTTAAGATAGGAAGATCTGTTTCAAAACTATATATAATATTAATATTGTTTCTTATTAATGATGTTACTATTAATTTTAAAAGAAGTCAGAGTTACACTGATAAATAAAGAAATAATAATGAGCTTATCCTAACAGCAAGAGATATGGCAAGCAAAGGCAAAACCCTAAAGCTTTTGGTACTAGCATGTAATCTGAGGGATAGGGTGAGGTTGTTACAGAATGAAAACTCAGACTGCACTGGGAATAAGTAATCATCTAATTATCAAGCAAGTATCCCTTTAGTTAAGGATGCCTAAAAGAAACTCAGTGGAAGACATGATGAAAGTCATCTGACATATATTAACACTTCTCGGGAGGACAAGCTAGAGATACAAACAGGGGATGATAATATGCGGGTGGTGGTGATAAACACGAATCTGGATAGAACTTGTCATTTATTACCAGCCAACCCAAAATCCATACTTCCTTTCTCTGTTTTTTTTTTTTGATATTAAAGCAGAATGATGTTTACTTTGTCAGCCAGCATGATTTTTTCACAGCAGGGAGGTCATTAAGAAGTGCCTCTGCATGCAAAATTCGAGAAGTCATTGTTTTTTACTGCAGCATAATACTCTAATGTGTATATATTCCACACTTTCTTCATCCATTCTTCCATTGAAGGGCATCTAGGTTGTTTCCAGGTTCTGGCTATTACAAATAATGCTGCTATGAACATAGTTGAACAAATGCTTTTGTCATATGATAGGGCATCTCTTGGGTATATTCCCAAGAGTGGTATTGCTGGGTCCAGGGGTAGGTTGATCCCGAATTTCCTGAGAAACCGAAACACTGATTTCCAAAGTGGTTGCACAAGATTGCATTCCCACCAGCAATGGATGAGGGTACCCCTTCCTCCACAGCCTCTCCAGCAAAGGCTATCATCGGTGCTTTTGATTTTAGCCATTCTGACAGGTGTGAGATGATATCTCAAAGTTGTTTTGATTTGCATTTCCCTGATTGCTAATGAGGTTGAGCATGACCTTAGGTGTCTTTTGGCCATTTGAACTTCTTCTTTTGAGAATTCTCTGTTCAGTTCAGTGCCCCATTTTTTAATTGGGTTAATTAGCATTTTAGAGTCTAGTTTCTTGAGTTCTCTATATATTTTGGAGATCAGACCTTTGTCTG